TTGAGAAATATATATACATCAATTTGCATGAATTCCCTAAAATGTTTCAACCTTCTGTTTCCTTTTGCAGGCTTTGAGTACTACGAGGCAAGCGCCAAGGAGAACATCAATGTGCAGCAGGTCTTCGAGCGCCTGGTGGACATCATCTGTGTAAAGATGTCAGAGCGTGTGGACGTAGAGGTGCCGGCCGCTCCCGGCACCAAGACTACAGACTGACTGACAAACCCGCCCAGCTACCTCAGAAGTGCTGCTGATCGTCCATCCGTTCATCAAATCAAATCAAATCAAATCAAATCAAGTTTTATTTATATAGCACATTTTTAAAACGATTTTTGGTCGAGCCAAAGTGCTGTAGGCCTACATATAATAATTACCTTACAGTAAGGACACTTTACAGCAAATACAACAGCACAGTTTGTGCAGAATATCAGTATGAGAAAATGACACCCTCTGTCCTTTAGACCCTCACATCATACAAGGACAAACTTCCCGAGAGAAAACCCACAGTTTAAGGGGAAAAATGGGAGAAACCTCAGGGAGAGCAACAGAGGAGGGATCCCTCTCCCAGGACGGACAGACGTGCAATAGATGCCGTGTGTAAGAGATAATACATTTTACAGCGTAGACCGAATGTTTGGAAATGCATGTGTCTATAATAAGAAGATGAATCCACGAAGATGTCAAGAACAATCCTGTGGGAGCCATCAGGGAAGCAGCATGACGAGACCCAGGCAGGACCGCAGAGACAGGCCCAGCCACGACCCGAAGTCCACGACTTAATCCAGAACTCAGGATAGAGGATCCAGGGCACAGGACCACAGCAAGAGGATCAGCCTCGACTCCGGATCCCGGCGTAGATATAGACACAAAAAAATGTGGGGGGAGGCTGGGTTAATCGGAACATGCGAATACACAGACACAGACAGGCACACGCAGGGAGCAAGGTCCCCGCTGGGGCCTTAGTTGGAATTGGTGAGATCCATACATCCCTCTGCTGTTGCCTTGTCTGCTTCCCCCCCATAAGCTTTTGAAAAAAGAAAAACACTACTTAAATATTATAGCATTCCTCAACTCACTCTCCCTGCTTCAATACATGTTTGTGAGCAATCAATAATCACTATGACTCCTGGGATTTATATTACAAGTTTAACCCTTTTCTTGTCCCTAAGGTTGGTCAATTTTTGCAGGAGAAGGAGTGAGTGTAGCAGTGTGTTCCCAACTAAATTAAATGTGGAATTAGAAAATTTTTAGAGCCCAGCTAGGTAACAGAAGATTGTGTGCAAATGGGAGAGTGAAAGCCTGCTCAGAAGATAAAGAGTTAAAGTGTATGTTACATTTTTAGATTTAATTTGAGGGACATGAAACTATTTCTCCACTATGGAATGGGTTGTAGTCTGACAGAGGAGGATGCAATTAGGGAGATAATGTGACAAAACGACCACAATTCCATAGAGGTAATGAGTAGACTAATTTGAAAATAGAATTAAATTACCTCCAATTATCTGACATTGGTAAGTTCCAGTTGAAAGCCCCAGTAATTCTGGTTTTGTACATTTTTGAGACATACACCTGTCTAGCGCACACACTGCCTCATAATTGGTTGAGTGAAGTGCTTCATTTTAGATGCATAAAAAAGTGTACTGGTGAGCAGGGCTGAAAGCAGGGTCCAAAGGTAAGCACAGCACTGCCTCTCCTCTCAAAGTGTAGCACAACAAGAAACTCACCACCAAAACTGCTCATGTTCACAAGTTTACAGGTCATAGCCGTTCATCTGGGTGTCACCCATCCAAACATTATATAAGATAAGATAAGAAAAGAAGGACCTTTATTAATCCCTGTGGGGAAATTCAGTAGTTTAACAGCAACAGGGTTGAAAAACAGGACAGCATAGATTCACAAAGATTAATACAATTAAGGATAAAATCAAAGACACAAATTGAAAATGGTAAATAACTATAAAATAAGAAATGAATTAAATTGAACATATATACATATTTGGTCATGTGTACATATTATTTACATGTGTGTGTGAAAACAATGTGTATTTTATGTGAGGCTGCTTTAAAGATAGCTACTAATAGTGAGTCCACACAAATACAATATGCCCATAGCCTAACCAACTGTTTCTGATCTTACTTTGCGCTGTTTTTGGCTTGAAAGACAATTTAGGTCTACACCACCAATAAATATTTCCGGGTCGGCCTGCAGCCCAAATCATTAGAGGACTCTGAAAAAAAGTAAAACATGTCTATAAATTATGCCTTGACCAAATCTTCTACCAAGGTGGTCAGGAAGCCTAGAATTTTTTTTTCTCAAGGAGCTTCAAAATCTACACATTATAAAACACAAACTACTTTCAGATACTAATTACAGATAAGACCAACTCCGTAGAAACCCTTAATAGTACATCAAAAGGTGTACCTCAAGGCTCTGTGCTTGGAACCCTCCTCTTCACTATTTACATGCTCCCACTTGGTCAAATCATCCGCCACCATGGTCTCAGCTTTCATTCATACGCTGATGACACACAGCTCTATCTCTGCACCAAACCGTCCACTCAGCTCCCCCCTCAATCCCTTGTCAACTGTCTACAGGACATCAAAAACTGGATGTCATCAAACCTGCTCAAACTAAACAGCAATAAAACAGAGCTCATGATTGTGGCTCCCAAGGCGCAGCTCCGGAAGGTTGGAGACCTGCTCCTGACGGCTGCTTCATCTCTCTGTCCACTGAAGTCTGCAACCTGGGAGTCATCCTGGACACCACTCTCTCCTTCCAGGCGCACATCAAATCTGTCACCAAATCTGTCACCAAATCGGCTTTCTACCACCTCAAAAACATTTCCAGACTCCGGCCTTCACTCTCTGACTCTGTGGCAGAAACGCTAATACACGCTTTTCATCACATGCCTCGACTATTGCAATGGAGTCCTGTCCGGGGTTCCCAGCAAAGCCCTGGAGAGGCTCCAATACGTCCAGAACTCTGCCGCCAGGCTTCTCACCCGCACCAAGCCCTGGCAACACATCACCCCCACCCTCCTCCATCTGCATGGCTGCCGGTCAAGTCCCGGATTCAGTACAAAACACTCCTCCTCACTTACAAGTCTCTCCATTCACCCGTTGGTGACAGGGCGTTCAGTGTTGCGGCCCCCACCATCTGGAATGTACTTCCTGATGAGATCCGCAATGCTGCTTCCATGGCCATCTTCAAGTCATCATTAAAAACTCACCGGTTCACCATGGCCTTTGACCCCTAACCCATCACAGTCCCCCTGCTTCCACTCCTACTGCTATGTATTTAATTTTTTACTTTATGATTTGCCCCTTTTGTTTGTTTGTTTGTTCACCATGTAAAGCGGCCCCAAGGTCCCTTGAAACGCGCTATACAAATTTCATCTATTATTATTATTATTATTATTATTATTATCAAACAACTACACAGAGACACAAAATTACTTCATAGTTTTCTACTGTTTTCCAGAGGTAGCCTAAATAGCACAAAAAGACATTAAAAACCCAGATGAGGTTGGGCACTGCAGCCAATGCATCATGATGGCTTAAAGCTTTTGCTCAGGCCGACACAATCCAGCACCATACTGAGTGTTTTATACACATGTGAGCAGGGCTGATGAATGAAGAGTACATGGTTATTTTTTCCCCCATTAGCACATACTGTAGACAGAATTTGTGTGTGTGAGAGAGCGGTGTGTATAGAGCCTACATCGTGGTGCATATGTTTAGTTATTGAGTGTTCATTTGTACGGGTTTTTTGTGTTTGAGTACAGTATCTTTGACGGAAGTGTGACATTTTGAACATGTCATGTCAGCTGAGATACAGTACGTGTTTGTTCACAATGAATTCCATGATAAAAGGGAAGACAAATATTTGTGCATTTATTATTAAATGCTGAAGATTGGAAAAAAACAATAGCCTGCCAAATTGTTATATAGCTGGCACGTTTTGTGTGTAACTCCTTCCCATGTGTCTTCATATTTATATGAAACAAATAAAATAATAATATTGACATTGTCTTCATATGATTCTTTTTTTAAGTGAATTTGTAAATGATAGATTTAGAAATTATAATGGTGTTGAGTATGAATTAATTTGTTATGCTGTGTATACCATGGACAAAATATATAGAAAGTTAATGTAAACTTGTTACATTAATTCCCCCCTGTACAGGGGAGAAGCACAAAGTGATTGTACAAAATATTGTGAATATTTGTATATTATAGATGCAATTTAGTAAAATAGAAATAACAATCTTAATAATAACATTTTAATGTAATTATTTTTCCTGAGTGTCTGTGTTTTTTTCAAATAGTTTAAACACTCTCTTCTATCTCTACTTGCATACTGTAACCACCAGTACTTGGTGGTGAATGTAACAAATACATTCCTTGACATTACACAACATTAAAACCATATACAGACAGACAAAACTAAAAAAAAAATATGAAAAATATATATGAAAATAAACCAAAATAAATAAAACATATATAAAAGGTTTTACATTCTCTTTGAAAAGATGGAAGCATGACACTTTTATAAGAAAAAAGTAAATGAACTGTGAGTTTTTTAGAATGAAGAAAATAGAAGGAAATAAAATAGACAGAAATATATTATCAGACGTGAGGAGTAAAAATGTGCAATAAAAGATCAAATATCATGTTTGATTCAAACATGATATTTGATATCATGATATCATGATATTTGATCTTTTATTGCACATTTTTACTCAAACAGTTTGAACATATACAAAATAATAAAATATTATATAAACAATAGCAGTGAATCAATCATCAATGCTTGCTATCTGAACCTATTAAAATATATTAGGATATTTTCAGTTTATTAATGTTGTATTCATTATAAACTATATCCATGTCCATCACTACTCAGTGTTTTTCAGTCAAACTCAATCTCTCGTCATAGATTCCACCAATCAGACAGCCCGTTTGTTTGTGATTGATTTGCTTTCAGCGAATCACAGGCTTTGTTTTGACTAACCGCTATCTAACCAAAGCTAGGCGGCTGTACTGAAACTGTTACGTCCATAAACATTAAGCTGGCAGAAACAAAGGTGAGAGCCTCCTTATGTCAAAGTATATCAAACGAAACTGTTATGTCATTATTTAGAGTTTAGACTAAGCTAGCTGGCTTGTTAATGGCTACACAACACGACTCGTAATGTAGCCACTGTGGCTAAACTAGCTGTTTAACAATCTACGTTAAGATGGTCATTCTCAATAACAGGATTACCCAAAACCAGTATCAGCTAACGCTAACGAAGCCGGTAGCCATTGAGCCAAAGCCAATGTAGCCTACTATTCGACTTAGTGGTCTAAGCAAGTCACTGCCTTACTGAAGTAGCAGCGGTGATGGTATGAGGATGTTTTTAAGTTAGCTCAAACAGTTAGCTTGCTAGCTTCCCAGCAGTTCCTGTTGCGATATGTCATGTCCCTTATAATAGCAACACATATTAACGTGAGGCTCAGTCCACCACAGCTCCGTACCATCACTTCACATGTTTCTCACATTTTCTTTCTGACATTTTTTATCGACGAATCGTACATGTTAAATGTTTTGACTCCAATAGTTTTTATAACAGGAGAAGATACATCTGATCCTGTTACTACATTGTTAAAGGTTAATCTTTGAAAGTCAGTTCTTCTCGTAATATTATTCTCTACTTACAAATGGGCACGAATAGATATTCTTCATGTTAAAATAAATATGTGTACACCGGAGCATCACACCCATGTCATGTGTATGTTGAATATGTAGTTATTAACCTAATCGGATTTAGGAATCTGCCATAGGGACTTCTTTAGCGCCAAGCAAATTATTATTTAATAACTGATTTATTGAAAGGTTTGCAATCTATGTATCTATGTTACAAAGGTAATCCCATGATTGTATGCACATTAAAAGAGTTTCTATTCAATGTAATAATTGCTCCTCTCCGCCCTGGCTTTGAAAAGACTGTTTAAGTGAATCCTATTTTATTGATTTAGAACGTTATCCACATTCATTGTTGTACAAATATGTGTTCTTCTTAAGGCCTGCTGGTATAACGATTCAGCATTCTGACTTATACATTTACATTTGTTATGTCTCCCTCTTTATACTCAGAGTGGTCCTTTAATCAGTTGTTTTGTTTTAACATTGTTTAATGTTGTGTAATGTCAAGGAATGTATTTGTTACATTCACCACCAAGTACTGGTGATTACAGTATGCAAGTAGAGATAGAAGAGAGTGTTTAAACTATTTGAAAAAAACACAGACACTCAGGAAAAATAATTACATTAAAATGTTATTATTAATTATTGCTTAGGAAAATCCAGTTGGTGAATTTTTTTTGACGAGCAGTGTAGCTAAATGGTTATTGTTGGATAGATTTTTTTTAACATTTTGACAGAAACTAATTATTTACCTGTGTGCTTTCCTGCATCCGTAGCGCTGACATTCCAGAGGACTCTGTCAAAATGCCTCAGACCAACAAGTCAGTGAATGGTTGTGGTGCTCAACTAGAGGCTTCTGCCCCAGACCAGGGTGAGCCACCGCCACCACAGGAGCAGGCGGCTGCTTGGGATGGAGGTCAAAAAGTGCCTACAGAAGACCAGGGGGACTTGGATATCATCAAATCTCCCAGTGACCCTAAGAAATACAGGTGGGAGACGGAGACCGTGTCTTATACATTTTATTTGAGGATTTTTATATAGCAGTCAGTGCGATAGTATACTCTCTCTTGATATATTATAATAAGTACTGTTTTAAGTACTTTGTTGACCAGTTTGGAACATCAAGTCCAGATGCGGTGGTGGCAGTAACATGCAGAACAGAGAAGCAATGCTCCCACAACGGCAGTGAATAACAATACAGGATAAAAGATATTTAAAAAAGCTGCTTAACAAATGTTTTATGAGGAGTGAAATGCATTCATCAAGTTTGTTCAATTATACACACAATGAGCTTTGGTAAGAAACACCTAATGTAAAAATAGGTTTTTTTATTCAAAAGAAAACTCCTCTTGAACCAGTATTTATAAAAATCCCAGGGTGTAAATGATGTGCGTAAGCCAGTAAATGCTAAATTAATGTATTGTAATCTAATGTAACTAAACAAAACAACTTGTGTCTTTACAGTTACTACATTAAGTTTTTCTCCTAAAGACATTGTAAGCTTTGTGTTTAAAATATTCTCCCACTCTTTGCAGACACATTGAGCTGAGTAACGGCCTCCGAGTACTCCTTATCTCCGACTTCAGTGGGGAGAATGGGACAGAAGGAAGTGAAAATGGAGAGGTCAACGGGAAGATAGAAGATGGAGAGGATGAGGAGGAAGAAAGCAAAGGTGAGGAAGAAGAAGATTCTGGTGAGGGCTCAGAGGAGGATGAGGAGGAGGACCAAGAGGAGGAGCAGGACAGCGACTTTGATGAGCTGGACGAGGAGAATGCAGGGAAGAAGAAGAAAGGGATCTCTGAGAAGCAGGTGGGGGGGGTGAATGTTTCTATCCCTGAATGTACTTATTTAATATATATTTAGGATTCAGTTCACTATTGTATTAAAGCAAACAACAAAAGCCTGCAGATGTTATATATTTTTCTTGTTAAAAAATCTCGTGTGCATATCTGCTGCCCCGATTACTCATAAAAGCACCAAATGTGGATTAATCCGCCATTGGAAGTAGTCCCCAATGAATTAAACTACAAATGTGTGATGTATTTTTAAATGTATAGTTGAATAATGAAAGTTATGATGTCATTTGTATCGCCCGTCAGTGGATACTGTTAGTAAAAGGTTTTTAGTGAAGTTAGCTTAATCTATTTATTTTATTATTTGTTATTTATATACCCTTAATCGTCCCACAGAGGGGGACATTTACATTCTGCATTTGACCCATCCTAGTGTTAGGAGCAGTGGGCTGCCATTATGTACGGCGCTCGGGGAGCAGTGTAGGGAACGGTGCCTTGCTCAGGGACACCTCGGTAGCACTTGAACTGGTGACCTTCCAGTTCCCAAGCCAAGTCCCTGTGGACTTCGCCACCACCGCCCCAAAGATAAAATATCTTACAGTATTCCTAGGGGACAGGAAAAGTGTTAAATGCTTGGATACAAGTTGAAAATGTGTATATTTGTTTCCAGGCTGCAGCTGCTCTGTGCATCAGTGTTGGGAGCTTCAGTGACCCAGAAGATCTGCCTGGCCTCGCCCACTTCCTGGAGCACAGTGAGTCCATTTAATGCTGCATCTTGATAGTGTTTTAGATACACGAGAAAATAATTGTATTTATGTGGCTAAAATTCTCTTCTCCTGATTTCTTCTTAACCTTTTTATTCCCTACTCTCTAATGTTCAGTGGTGTTTATGGGCAGTGAGAAATACCCAGCCGAGAACGGCTTCGACGCCTTCCTAAAGAAGCATGGCGGAAGCGACAACGCCTCCACTGACTGCGAGAGAACCATCTTTCAGTTCGACGTGCAGAGGAAATATTTCAGAGAGGCACTTGACAGGTGAGGCTGGATCAGAGAACCACCTCGTCTGTGACCTAATTGTATGGGTTTGTCTAAAGAAAAAAAAAGCTGAATAATGAATTTTATCTATGTAGCACCTTTCAAACTGTTAGAACAAAAATGAAATTACATAAAGGCCGTTCTAAAAGTTTCTTTTTTTAAAAAGAGATTTAAATAAGCAGACGGAGTTTGCAACCCTGATCTCCTCAGGCAGGTTGCTCCAAAGTCCAGGAGCCCTGACAGCAAAGGCTCTGTCCCCTTGTTTGTTAATTTCAGCTCTATTTTCTATATAACATTATGACCTCTTAATAATAGTTTACATTTTTTTCTTCCAGATGGGCTCAGTTCTTTATCTGTCCTCTGATGATAGAAGATGCCATCGACAGAGAGGTGGAAGCTGTGGACAGTGGTGAGTCTACACTGATGCCATCTACACACTATCACATTCTTTGTGTACTCAGATACTCTCAACATCTTAACACTGAACTAGTGCCCCTTTAATTTGCCTTAGGTAAGTTTGAATCACTTTTATGCTCCAAATGTTCTGCTATACTAGCAGTACTACTACCCACCAGACTTTCGGCTCGAGTCACACTATTTTTCAGATTTCTTCTTTATTCATGTCACTTTTCTAATTTCCTGTCTCAGAGTACCAGTTAGCGAGGCCTTCTGACTCACATCGAAAGGAGATGCTGTTCGGGAGTCTTGCTAAACCGGGACACCCTATGAGAAAGTTTTGCTGGGGTAAGAATAACGTTCTTTTTTTGAAATGCTCAACATTTTTTCACTAAATCCTTTTCATGTCTTATTCTAAATGAAGGGTTTATAAAGTTCTGTTTCTGAGTTGATGGGGATGTGAAGAAGTGGTTTGATTTTCTCTCAGGTAATGCTCAGACTTTGAAGCACGAACCCAGAGAGAAGCAGATCAACACCTACCAGAGGCTCAGAGACTTCTGGAGGAGATATTACTCCGCTCATTACATGACGCTAACTGTGCAGTCCAAAGGTAATCACACACTCCTCCTCCTCCTACACTCTCCTATCCTGTCTCATTCCCTGTTTCATTATCCTCCCCTTGACTCTCCTCCTCCTCTCCTCCCTTGATTCCAATCTTCATTCCTCCTCCTCTCCTTTTTCATTGTCCTACACCTCCTCCTCCTCCATCTCTCTTGAGATGGCAATCCCTGATCATCAGGTTTTTCGGTGACAGGGGGAAAAATCCCTTTTTTTTAATCTGACGGACAAAATCTGAAGTCCACCAGAATCATTTGAAGGATTTGTCTGTGGCTGTGGGTCTGCCATAACTTTGAAGTCCTTCGGAGGAGGGGAGGGTACTTGACACGCAAGTCAACGCACGTCGGGGTGCTTCCAGGATCCCTGCATGCGCAGCACCGAATCGCCATTGTCACATACCAATCTGTATCATTAACCTGAGTTGTCCCGTGAATGTGTGCAAATAAGCTACTTCTTGCCACCGCTTCGTTTTGCGGCATTGTTGAACTGATTTCCTCACTACATTTCCCTACGTGGGAATCATATTTTTCCAACCACACACACACACACACACACACACACACACATACACATACACATACACATACACATACACATACACACACACTCACATGATTTAGGTCCAGTGTTGTTTCCCCTGGGTTTACTGCTTTGGGGGGGTGCTGCCTGAGTGGGGGGGGGGGGCATTGGGATATATATTTTTAAAATCCTCTGGAGCAGAGAGCTGTGGATTATTGTTATTGATTAATGCATCAGTGTTTCTTAGGGTCAAAAACACTAAACTCACAACTTAAAATGAAAGCGTTTAGTTTATTTAATAAAAGAGCACATGTTCAATGTGAAAAGTGACAGTAGATATAGATTAGTTGCAATTTGGTGCTATATATATATATATATATATTTTTTTTAAACACCTTGAATTTCGGGGGGCACGGGGCTCCGTTGGCGGGGCGCAGCGCCCCTCCAAGACAATGGTAGGGGAAACACTGGGTACCATGGGGCACTGCTGCAGAACACACACACATTTTTAAATGCACATAGTTAAGTTCACCTTGTCTTTCTAGGACTTTTTTGGTATCCTCCATGAACCAGGGTCTTGAAACCAAAACGAATTCCTGTACCCCATGGTACCTTTTAGTTTTCGCCAAACTATTCCTCTTTTTTAAATGCACATTATTAGTTAAGTTTAACTTGTCTTTTCTTGGATTTCTTTGGTGTCCTCTGCGAACCAGGGTCTTGAAACCAAAACGGCACACGTACTGTAGGGGACTTTAACCACCTACGAGGAAACTTTAACCCCAATAATGACTTTAACCCTAAAAATAATAAGCCTGAATATATCAATTAAAAGCAGCGGCAAAAAGAAAGGTCTTCAGCCTGGATTTAAAAGTAGTAAGAGTTGCAGCGGACCTGCAGGTTTCTGGTAGTTTGTTCCAGATATTTAGAGCATAATAACTGAACGCTGCTTCTCCATGTTTAGTTCTGACTCTGGGGACAGAAAGCAGACCAGTCCCTGAAGACCTGAGAGTTCTGGATGGTTCATAATTTAGCAGCAGGTCAGAAATGTATTTTGGGCCTAAACCATTCAAAGCTTTATAAACCAGCAACAGTATTTTGAAATCAATTATTTGACAAACAGGAAGCCAGTGTAAAGACTTCAGAACAGGAGTGATGTGATCCACTTTCTTAGTGTTAATGAGGACTCGAGCAGCAGCGTTCTGAATTAGTTGCAGCTTTCTAATATATTTTTTTGTGAGACCTGTAAAGACACCATTACAGTGGTCGAGTCTACTGAAGATAAAAGCATGGACAAGTTTTTCCAAATCCTGCTGTGACATTAGTCTTTTAATCCTCAATATATTCTTTAGGTGATAGTAGGCTGACTTAGTAATTGTTTTAATGTGACTGTTGAAACTCAGGTCAGAGTCCATGACTACACTTAGATTTCTGGCTTTATCTGTTGTTTTGAACATTGCAGACTGAAGCTCAGCGCTGACTTTTATTCATTCTTCCTTGGCTCCAAAAACCATTACCTCAGTTTTATCTTTATTTAATTGGAGAAAGTTCTGACACATCCAGTCATTGATTTGTTCAATGCACTTACTCAGAGTTTGAATTGGAGCATAGTCTCCTGGTGAAATGCTTATGTAAATGTGTGTGTCATCCGCATAGCTATGGTAACTTATTTGGTTGTTTTTCATTATCTGAGCCAGTGGTAGCATGTAGATCAGGGGTTTTCAAAGTGTGGGAAGGTGAGCCTCCCCTCAGAGAATATAAGAACAGCCGCGCCCCCCCTCCCAATTATTATTGCTATTATTATTATTATTATTGTTGTTGCTATAAAGCAGGGGTATTATTATCCAGTGGAATGCCCTTACCTACTGGCCTAGTTAAATCAAAGTGGTTACTTATTTTTGTCTGGGCAGTGTAGTTTTACACACCATCTTATTTGACTTTCTCAGGGCAGAGCCCCACAAAGAAAAAAATATATGTACACACGTAAGGTCATCATCTTAACAGTTTTTAATGCTCGAGTCATCCGTGAGCAGAGCATCAAGTTGGCATGCCTATTACAGCTGAATGCGGCGATTACCATCTTGTTCAGCAAAACGCCTCACAAACGTATTAACATCCAAAGCTTTAGTGCGTTTTGATTCAATGCTGAGCACAGCCAAACTTGACAGTGTCTTCTCTGTCATTGTAGACCGCAAATACCTTATTCCTTCCGTGTACTTGGGTCCGAATGCTTCTCGTTTTCTGCCGCCCGTTCAAATGAAATCGCCGCCAATCACATTTCCTCGCTCGCGCCAGGGTTACAAGGCTCGCGTCTTGTGCTGCATTCACTTGCACTCGGACATCAGGGATTTTCTCTGATAAATGTCCGATGAGCCACAACTTTTATTTCAAAACAAAGCTGCCAACTGGGGTGGCCAGACGCTGTCTCCTCTCTCACTTTAGGTAACTTCACTAAAAATCGATCCATGTTGCCGCTCGCATAAAGTTAGCTGAAGTTAACGAGCTAGATTTCATTGTTTCTCTTTATTTTTTTCTCACGCTGCGCCTCCCCTGAAGCTCTCTGGCGCCCCCCAGGGGAGGCGCGCCTCACACTTTGAAAACCGCTGATGTAGATGTTAAAGAGAAGAGGCCCCAAGATGGAGCCTTGAGGTACCCCACATGTCATATTTGTCTACTCAGATGTGTATTTACCTATAGCAACAACGTTTTTTCTGTCCTTTAAGTAGGATTCAACCCAGTTTAGAACTGTTGCCGAAAGTCCCACCCAGAGCTCGAGAGGAGCATTTCAGCTGAAGGGCCACATATTCAAAGGAAGCAAAGTTCCCATAAGATGTCTTCCTGCATTGAAGGGAATCATTGAACAAAATAGCAACTCCACCTCCTTTCTTATACGTTCATTCCTGACTCATAAAACTAAAGTTGGGAGGGGTTGATTCTTTTGCGCTGTTCTTTTGGTCTATCCATGTTTCAGTTAAAAACATAAAATTGAGATTGTGCTCAGTGATAAAATCATTGATTAAAAATGTTTTTCCTGCCAAAGATCTGACATTTAATAAAGCTAGTTTAAGTTTGTTAAATACACTATCAGTCAGATCTTTTGTGACAAGCTTTGGCTGACGTGGAATCACTGCTAAATTTGATAAATTCACACAAACATTTGAGCGCTTTCTGTTCCTAGGCAGATTCACCGTTCTTAATCTATTACCTATCAACACAGATATCGGCAAATCTACCAGCAGGCAGTGCCCCGGCTTGTCCTGGAAAGAGTTGAGAGTGCCATACGCCCTTGAGCCTGGACCCAGCACATATCAGTTAGAGCTTGCTGCCTTTTGTACACACACATCCTTATCAGGGTTCGGAGACTTCAGATGCTGTCTTGAAGGGGGAGGAGGTGGTGTAGGTTTTGGTTTGGATGATTGTGGTAGGCATGGTGATGAAGACGGGGGAGATGGTGCACGTGTCTGCTTCGTTGATGTAGGTTGGCGTCGTTGAGGGACAGGGGTGAGGCACTTGCTGCCACGCCTTTATATCTCCTTCATGCGGTCATTGAACTCCAGGAAGGGGGACGAGGGTGAAAGGGTGAGCGGAGAGAAGAGAACTGGGGGGCGAAGGAAGAGTATCCTCAAAGGCGTTGATAGGGGGGGTGAAGGGCGGTGGAGACTCCTCCATTTGTCTCATAGGTCTCCCATAATCAAGACATTCCTCAGGCGGGCAGAGTGATACTTCTTCAAGGTTTTCGGCACGTTGTGTTGTGTCTTTCTCCTGTTTTGATTCCTCTAGTCGCTTGTCCTTGGCAGAGGGAACAGATTGATGACACAGGCAGTTGAATATGTTAGAGCTAAACTATTTTAATTTGACTCCTGACTTGTTCAGGCAAAGTCCATCTGCTTTAAAAAGATGTGAGGTATTTTAGGGGGCGCTATAGAGCCACCTTGCCACAGCAAAACACAACAACCATATCAGTTAACTAAAAGCATCACTGTTAATGTGTTTGCCAAGTGTCGTGCTTGTACATGCATCGCTTAGCACAAAATAAGTACTTCCTGTTGATAGCGAACAATGCGTAGCCACTGCAACAGCGTTGTACGACACCGCACAAGCTTCAGGCAAGGTGAATGTCTCGATATTAAGCTGGCGAAATATGAAGGTGATTTGATTAATCTGCTGAGAACTATAAGCCGAAGTCTAGCAACAGTAACTTCCTGTGGTCACAAGGGGGCGCTATGACTGTGATTGAAAATTGGCCTATAGATGTCTTCAGGGCGGTGCCCTCATCACACATGCGAGTTACAGCATTTCTTTGCTCATGGCGAAGGATCGTAATTTGCCGCGCTGCCACAACCAAGCCGTTACACCCAGACACACAACTTTCACTTTGGAGCTTCCTCCACCTCGTAAAGCTTATCTAATCACATTTCAGAGGGATCTGAATAATCTGGGAGGAGGAGGACTTTTTAGTCCAAAAATGGTTACTTCCTGGTCCCAGCAGGGGGCGCTATGTAGATGAGTGACTATGCTAATGGTGCTTTCTTCAGGCCGGGACTCTGATCATCCATGAGAGATTTGGTCATTTTAGGAGTATATATTGTCGAGTTAAAGCAAGAATTACATTTCATTAGCATTACAATTTGTAAAAGTGCATCACATCTCCTTTCTAGTTTCCTCTCCTATCTCCTATCTCTTCCTCTCCCTTCTCTTCTCCACCTCTCCTCCTTTCCTTCTCAATAAGATGACAGGTAGCAACATAACATAACTTTTATATAGTAACCTAAATCAACATGTTGACATCCAGCTTAACAAGTTAAACCACCAGCAGAGGTGAACATAAGGTTTCAGCTGCAGCTTAGATGTTCTGCTTTCTGACTGTGTACTTTGTTGTTTAGAAACTCTAGACACTCTGGAGCAGTGGGTGAGAGAAATCTTCAGCAAAGTTCCCAACAAGTAAGTGTACTACAACTACTATCCCTGCATGAATAAAGCAATTCAGTACACAAGATATTTGTATTGTTCACCAGATTATTCGATGTACACAACATGCCTACAACTTTGGAAATGCCAAATGTTTTTTTTATTGTTAAACAAACAATAAATTATAATAAAATAAAATAGAAATTTGAGCGTGCATAAGTATTCACCCCCCCGGTATTTTTTGTTTATTATTAACAAGAAGCATCTGCTGATGTGAACCATGCCTCGAAAAAATAGATCTCAGAAGACCTACGATCAAGAATTGTTGATTTTCTTAAAAGCTGGAGAGAGTTACAAAGAAAGTCATCTTCACAAGTTAAGCTATTTATCAATCCATATTTAGACACATTGTCTATAAAAGGAGCCAATTTAAAAGTGTGTCAATGCTCCCTAGAAGTGGGCGCATAGCAAAGTCTCCAAAAGCCAATGTAGGATGATCAATGAGGTCAAAATGAACCCCAGAGTAACAGCTGAAGGCTTGTAGGTATCATTGGATCTGGAGCCATCACGAATTTGAGCTGCTTTGCTGACTCGGGGCCTGGACAGTTTGCAATCATCACTAGAAAAAATTATTCTCAAGATTATCATGATATCCTACAAGACACTGTCAGAGAATCTGAAACTCAGCCGAGGTTGGGTGGTGCAGCAGGACAATGACCCTAAATATTGAAGTAAATACAGATTGAAGTAAATACAGATTTACTTCAATATTTTTCTTTATTATCAATGGCTTTTTTCTTGCCACATGTCCATAAAGCCCAGCTGAATGGAGTGTCCTGTATGTCATAAAGTTGTCCTATGTACTCTGATCTACAAGCTCCTTCAGGGGGACATTTGTGTCCCTGTTGCCTCTCGGTTTAATGCCCTCCATGCACGGTGAGTTTGGGTGGGGTCCCTCTCTTGGCAGGTTTGTTGTGGTTCAATATTCTTTTCAATTTTGGAATAAAGGATTTAATGGTGCTCTGTGGGATGTTCAAAGTTTGTCCACCTGTCTGGAGAGCTTGTCAGTCTTCATGGTGCGATTTGCTTGCTTGGTGGCCGCCTATGCTTAGTTTTCTAGGGACTAGACCCCAGTACATGGGCCAGCACGACAATACTAACGACAATCAGGCAAAAACTAATCATGTAAAGCAGGGGTGTCAAACTAAATTTCATCGCTGGCCACATTCGCATAAAGGTTGCACTCAAAGGGCCGGTTGTAACTATATAAATATATAATATATATATAAAATAATGTATTATATTACATTATTGCCTCTGAATTGGATTATTATCGGATAGGATAATAACTTAGTAATTAACTACGTCTGAAAGCAGAAGTCCAGGGAAAATAATTGCAAGTCTCTTCAGTGCGCATGTCACAAAACGAGATGCATTGTGGGACATGTAGTTTATGGGCAACCTGCTTCTGTAAAGTGGCATGTAACCGTATAATAAACGTATTATATTCTTTGCAAGCTCTTGCAGGGCCACATCAAATGAAGTCGCGGGCTGGATTTGGCCCCTGGGCCTAGAGTTTGAGACCCCTGATGTAAATGAAAAAAAAAAGATTTATGTTTTGTGTTTTCTTGTGTTTAGTGGGGAACTCAAAGCGGACTTCTCTCACCTCCTGCAGCCGTTTGACACTCCAGCCTTCAACAAACTCTACCGAGGTCAGAAAGTAGTGGCATTATATTATATGCATGTTATCATATGAATAGATTAGAATCCCACGGCCCCTACATGTGTATATGTTATTATTAAATATCAATATGTTAATATGGCATAAGAAGAAACTGCCCTTTTGGGAGCATTCATGCTGGCTAACCTATAACAGCTTTTTCTTTTCATATCGGTCTAAGATGAAATCAGAAGAATCATCAATCTAATTTTTTATTAAAAACATACTGATACATACGCATGTGTTTTGCAGTGGTCCCTGTGAGGAAGGTTCATGCTCTGAACATCAGCTGGGCCGTACCACCGCAGGGGAAACATTACAGGTGCGTCATTGTTTAATACTAGCATTAGAACATCGACCAAAGAAAAATGTACAAACATGTGCAGAGGCAGGTTTTAAAAAATGTTGTTCAGAAAAAGCAGGATTAACACTGGACCCAATGTGCTGCGAAACAGGAGCTCTTACATCTCTTCTGTCAGTCTTTTTCTCCATCCTAATTTATCATTTGTCTACAGTTGGATTTATTTTTCATTTTCTCTGGAATAATAAGTAATTAGTGATGGTACTCACTCAGATCTTGTCCTTTAGTGTAGTAAGAAAAAGATTGTCAAGAGAATGATCTGTAGTAATTGTAGAAATAAAATAACATATAAATAAAAGTCCTGCATTTGAAGTAAGTATTTATTCTATACAAAAAGTACTTGGTATCAAAAAATATATACTTTTCAAACACGACTAATTAATATTACTTTAAATGTTGTTGCTGGCCCTGATGAACCTCATTCAACCTAACTTTACTACCATACTCCATATATAATTATATACTGCATTTTTTATATTTAATTGCTGAAGTCAAGCAAAGGTTAGTTAATCAAAATTGTACTTCAGTGCAGTAGTTAAATGAAACTCACCACTACTGTTAGTGATGGTGTAGAGCACATTATCTCTCCAATCAGATAACAATTCACAAATGTTTTGTATTTTGGCAGAGTGAAGCCACTTCACTACATCTCCTGGCTGATCGGACATGAAGGAACAGGCAGCATCCTGTCTCTGCTCAGGAAGAAGTGAGACATAAAGAAATGACTGATTAGAAACAGGCAATAACTGGTAAATGCTTGCACAGGACTCATTGTGTAAACTATGTTTGTCTTTGTGTGTGTATTCAGGTGCTGGGCTATGGCTCTGTTTGGAGGAAACAGCGAGACAGGTTTCGACCAGAACACCACCTACTCCATCTTCTCCATCTCCATCACCCTGACTAACCTGGGCTTCCAGAACTTCTACCAGGTCAACACCTCGTACAGCAACATGTACTGGTTAACCTTGACTGTTTAAAAAGTTACAAAAAAATATAATTAGATTAAACAGTTTCGGTTTTTTTACTTCTCAATGCTTCAATATTTGTCTCTGTGCAGGTTGTCCATTTGGTTTTCCAGTACCTAAAGATGCTCCAAACTCTTGGGCCCCAGCAGAGGTAAGGCTCCTCACACACACGCACGCACACACGCACACACACACACACACACACACGCACGCACACGCGCGCGGGGGGCTCCGTTTGGCGGGGCTCCGTTGGCGGGGCTCCGTTGGCGGGGCGCAGCGCCCCTCCAAGACAATGGTAGGGGAAACACTGGGTACCATGGGGCACTGCTGCAGAAACAGACCTTCATTTTTTGTTTTGTTTTATAAACTTACAGTTAATGTGTTGTTGAGAAAATAATTCTCGAAACAACCTTTACACAAATATAAGAATTTGATATGTAATAAGATACAAATAAATTGTCATATAACTATGCCCAGCCCCCTTTAAAGTAGTCAAGCAACTCTAGAAAGCCAACAATATCTTTTTATATATTATTTACTTTTTTCCAGGATCTATGAGGAAATTCAGAAGATAGAAGCCAACGAGTTCCACTATCAGGAGCAGGTACTGCTGCACAGACACACACTGTACACACGTCTCTGGATAAATGAATGTGCTTACAGCCAAATAACAGTTCAGTCAGCAGATTAGATGAATCAGCTCTTCTCTGCGTTAATGTGTTTTTTTTCTAGGAAATAATTAATCTTCATTAAAACTACTAGTAGTTATGATGATGACAAGGATAGCAATAATTCATTTCATTCCTGTATATCATCGCTAATATTAGAGTCTATGGAATGGACCTTTACTCCTTTACTGTATGTATATGTTTTTAATGATTTAACTTAACAGAACACGTATTTTACCAAGGGTAATAATGATATATAGATAAACTGATATTTATTAAACCAATAATTAAGGCAACAAAGACATGACAGCTCTGCTGTTTATTTTATATACATGAATATAAGTTAACGAGAACACTCATTTGTATTTTATCAAAATATGATTAGTAATTTGATGTTGTCTCTGGTTGTTTCTGGACTGACAGACAGATCCCATCGAGTTTGTGGAGAACATCTGTGAGAACATGCAGCTGTTTCCCAAAGAGGACTTCCTGACTGGAGACCAGCTCATGTTTGAGTTTGACCAGGAGGTAACCAGGACGTGGTCTGTTAGTAAGGGAAAAAGTCAAACAATCAACATTCAGATATAACCACATGCTTGCTGATTAACAAAAAAAGGTTATATCATATAAAGTAATAATAACTGTTTTTAAAGATTATCTTTGGGTCACCAGTGTCTTTACTGGTTAGAGAGAGTTGAAAGATGGAGACAGACGAGATGACATGCATAAATTGTCCCTGGGTAAGGTTGAACCCTTCGAAACCCGCTCCCACCTGGCTACAATGTTCTTTCTCTTTGTTGTTTATATGTAAAGGTGGTTCAGTGTAACGCCCTCTGATACATTTCGTCTTACATTGCCGATAAGCACTTAGGTTCCCATTCATTCATACTCATCTTTTAAATTGGGCCAGCCTGGACGTTGAAGTGTGCATCAATTCTGTCCTTCCCTCCACCTTAAGGGCCTTTCCACCTGGGAGACAATGTGACTTTTCCAAGAATTTGTCTTGTACATTTTCGCCAGCTTGGAAAATATTTACAGGCTCTGCTAAGTATTATGGAAGCCTATCAGACACACGCACGAAACCATCTCAATATTTCAGTTTTTGTCTTGGCATATTTAGTCATATACTCATCAGTCCATTGTAGTTTTGTGGGGCATCAAAGGCAGACCTGTTGTGATCATGGTCTTTGTAATTGTTCCTTTAATTATCCTTTAGTAGAGTTCTCTGTGTTAGAAGGGACACGCACATGCCAAGGAAACCCTTTCCTAACCATTTTGTGTTTTCACGTTTTTGTTGCTTTCAGGTCATTAGTGCCGCTCTTTCACTACTGACTCCTGACAAAGCAAACCTGTTGCTGCTGTCACCGGAGAACGAAGGTCACTGTCAACTCAGAGAGAAATGGTTCGGTACCTGCTACAGCAAGGAGGGTGCGAGACACGCACACACACTCAACACACAACACAGACAGACACACCATAGCGTCTCATTTACAGCTATTTATCTTTGATATCTTTATTTACTTTGTTGGGATTAATGTCAGAGCAGCCTTTATCTACTGTTTGTGAAGATTGTGAGAGTCAATTAATGCCCAGATTTAATTTCAGTTGACACAAATTAATTGTTTAACGAAACATTGTATTTATTTGTATGTAACGTGTGCAGGCAAGGAAAGCATTTGCTGCTTTAACCAAACAACTTTCTAAAGAGAAAAAAGTAATGATATTTAACCTGGGATCATTTTGTTTTGTCTCATCAGACATCCCAGAGGAGTGGGCTCAGCGCTGGGCGGGAGACTTGGAACTCAACCTTGAACTCCACCTCCCCGCTGAGAACAAATATATTGGTCAGTACAAAGAAAGCAACACATGATGCTACAAAAGAGCTACAATTAAAAACATAAATTCAAAAATGATCTTCTTCTTCATGGCACAGCGACCGATTTTTCTCTGAAAGCGACTGACTGTCCGGACACAGAGTTTCCTGTCCGGATCGTGAACAACGAGCGAGGCTGTCTGTGGTACAAAAAGGACAACAAGTTCAAGATCCCAAAAGGTGAGCCAGAGGCAGGATTTGGGGTAAGCGAGGTAACTTCGGGGTTAACGCTGAGTTTTCGGTACTACGACGCTGGATGACTTCTTACAGCGCCCGGGGAGTGAGGGGGGAAGGGGGGGTGTCCGGTGCCTTGCTCAAGGGCACCACGGCAGGGCAGGAGGTGAACTGGGACCTCTCCAAGAAGGAGTCCACACTCCATATTTAGGTCTGGTCGGGGACTTGAACCAGCGACCCTACAGCTCCCAGTCCAAGCCCCTACTGACTGAGCCACTGCCGGAATACTGTACACCCACATCTGTAGCCCTTTCACACATTTCTTTACATTTTATTTCATATTTGTAATATTTTATACATTTAGTTAAACTTCTGCACCATTTCATTTCTAAGATTCTTATATTGCCGTCCTATTTTTTATTATACATAATAGATTTGATTATTGTAGCAGGGAGCCTGAGATCTACAGCAAACGACTGGTTCTCTGTAACTGTTGTGCATATGTCCATAAATAATTGTACATTTCTAGCAAGGGTTTAAATTAACAACTTGTTCAGTAAAAAATAAGGTAAAATGATGTGGTTTTCTGTCTTTTTAGCTTATATTCGTTTCAACCTGATCTCCCCGATGATTCAGAAGAGTCCTGACAAGTAAGAGTTTAAGAAAGAAATTTGCTTGCATTCATCCTCGGCTTAAAACCACAACAGGATTAAATTGCTGTTCTGTTTAACATTGTTCTTCCTCTTTCAGTCTGGTTCTGTTTGACCTCTTTGTGAACATCCTGGCTCACAATTTGGCCGAGCCAGCCTATGAGGCTGATGTGGCTCAGCTGGATTACAAACTGGTGGCCGGAGAGCATGGATTCGTTATCGGATTTAAGGGTTTCAACCACAAACTGCCGGTGAGGAGACTGTACACTCTAACATAGTGTGACATAGTTAGAGACAGAGTGGAGCATCTAGCAGCCAAGCAGGCATATCAAGTCCTTCAGGGGTCAGAAGAGACCAAAAACAGAGCTAAAAGAGAAAGAAAGTTGGACTTGCAGTCATCAGGTGGACATAAAACCTCTATTATTAACCATCATGTTACCCTTTAACTATAAGTAAGCAACTATTAGATAAGATCAACATATCAAATGTCTTAATGTTTGTTCACATTGTTTCCAAAACATCAATGAGGCATTCCATTGCAGTGTCTGACATGTTTCTTTTATTTCCATGAACACATAATATTGTAGTTTATTCTGAATGAATCCCACATACAATGTCCTGCTGGCCCAGATACGACTAAAGGATCAGATGTGGATTAATCCACCACTGAAAATAGTCCCCCAAAAAATGCGCTGATTAAAAACTACAGTGACAAGCCGTTTTAAGGAATTACTTAGCCTTTTCTTTTATAAAATAATATATTTTTGAGGTCTTGGCAACAAAAAGTACATAAAGTATCAGCAGTTAAAGTACTTACTAGGCAGCAAAATAACCTCTGACTTTAAAATGCTATTCATATTATTCTATGCCTATTTTTATTATTATTATTTATACTTAAAGGTGGGCTAGGTAAGTTTGAGAAACCGGCTCGAGATACACTTTTTGTTATATTCCATGGAATGCTCTTAACATCCCGATAGCAATGAATATCTGAAGTGCTTTGACAATAAATCCATACAAAAATCTCATCTGTGGAAGCCGTAATACTGTAAAAAGTACGACCAATGATTTTAGCCGGCCCGGCTAAAATGATTGGATGGCCTACCTGCCTGTCAGCCTTCCATCTGTGCACAAACTTATCTCGTGCCCTCATTGGTCATGTGTGCGTTCGTGTGTGTTGGAGGAGGGGCTTTGTAAGGAAGTGGGAGATTTGTTCCGGCTGTGTATTTTCAAATTCTAGCGCACTCGAGCTGGTTTCTCCAAAATTACCTACCCTACCTTTAAACATAATTTTTGCAGCTGGTTGAGGTGCAATTTTATCCACCATACTTTATACATGTTGTATATATATTTGGTAGGTCCATTCTTAAAGCTCCCATGTCATGCTTTTCCGGTTATTACGCGTCCCCTTGTGTGTTATGAAGGTTTTTATGCATGTAAACGGTGTGCAGAGTCAAAACCCTCAAAGTACACCCTGTAGCGAGTAAAACTCTAACACAGAAAATACCTCCCCAAAACGCCTCGTTGGAGATACGTCACTGGCCATTTGAGTCTTCCATTTCGTTCCGGGTACGGCATGATGTCAAGCGGTACCCGGAACGAAATGGACCAATCCCGAAGAGCCGCTACGTTACGTCCGCGGAGCCGTTACGTTAAGCCCCCGCTGATTGGTCCAAATTGACCAATCCACGGACTTCCTCACACACACATCTGTGTGCAGGGAGCAGGCAGCTCTGCTGATTTCTCCTCCCTGGCTGCAGGCTGATAACAGACAGTTGGGATCGCGGCGAAATTCTCTCTGCAGACCCATTCTCACAGCGTTTATCAACCTTTTTCTTACTCAATATCAAGCCACACTTATTGTTTTTACTTCGGATGTGAGTTTGTGTGTGCTCAGGATGAGTTTGGCTGTGTTTCGCTATGTATCCTAAACAAGGAAGCAACACCTCCACGGAGCTCAGTGCGATTCACAACGTCCCGACCAATCAGAGCACACTGTGCTCACAGGGAGGGTGGGGGCTGGAGCTTTTGGAGCTACAACGAGCCGTTAAAGGCAGAGAGTGAAATTCAGTGAATACACGTAGTTTACAGAGATGCTGTATGAGAAACCAATGTGAGTTTGGAAAAATGCACCGTATAAATCTATTTTAGTAGACCTCAACAATGGAATTATGATCAGTGGAAATGGCCATGACACCTCTCCTTTAACTTAAATGTTTTTAGTGTAAAATGCATTTTTAATTAACATTTTCTTTTGTAAATAAGGCTTTCAGATTAATGTAGTGGAGTCAAAAGTAAAATATCTCCCATAGATTTAATGGAGTAAAAGTATAATACAAGTACATCAACAATTAGATTATAGTTATTATAGTTCATTGTATTATTTGTTTCATATGTACAACCACCCTGACTTCTCTCCCACTGCTCTTTTAGCTGCTGCTGAAGCTCGTCGTGGATCATCTGGCGGAGTTCAGCGCTGCACCGGGCGTCTTTAACATGTTCTCTGAGCAGCTGAAGAAAGCCTACTTCAACATCCTGATCAAACCTGAGAGACTGGGCAAGTATGTCCCACACACTGCAGAGACACACTCCGTAAACAGCCTTTCATTCCACCAACATCAAGTATAGGGATTCACAGTATTTGGCAAATATCCGGATAACATTGTTGAATTTGCCATAACAATTACTCTAAATAAGTTAACACAAGAATAATTTCTGCTGATTATAGTATAATGCAAAAATACAAAACATTACTGGGATAAAAAGAAAAAGTAATTATTTTCAACTATCTTATTTTGAACAAAATAAACATTGAACTGAACACAAAGGGCCTCAAAGAATGATGATAACATTTAAGAGTGCAGCTTTTTACTAATAGTTTCTTTATCACATTTAAATATATAGAATAATTATAATAATAATAATAATGCAAATAAATGACAATTATAGCGCTTTTCTAAAAACTCAAAGACCCTTATATGCATTAGAAAGATGCTTAACACTAGAACCGCCAGAGGTAGCTGTATACCTAAAACCGCCAACGGGTCAAATGTACCCGCAATTGATTTTCAAGGTACAATGTTCTTTTATTTATCATGTAGAACAGTGAGTTTTGATCGCACAGGGATGGAACTTATACCAATAGAATCTGTGGACTCTCAGCTTTTCATATGATATAGTTTGTGCAGATAGCATGAAGTATAACATATCGCTACCAGTGCTGATTAAAACGCTTGGTGTTAGACTCGTGTTTTGTTTAGGTACAAATCTGTCTATCTATCTGTCTATCTCTCTATAACTATCTATCCATCTATCTATAACTATCTATCTGTCGCTCTTTCTCTCTCTCTCTCTCTCTCTCTCTCTCTCTATCTTTCTCTCTCTCTCTCTCTCTCTCTCTCTCTCTCTCTCTCTCTCTCTCTCTCTCTCTCTCTCTCTCTCTCTCTCTCTCAATCTATCTCTCAATCTATCTCTCTATAAGGAACCGCAGTAGACAAAAGGCGTTGCTATAGCAACACGTCATGTTTACGCTGCATTTTCTATGAGGTAAATATTACCCGCTGGCGGATATAAGTATAAATGGAATTTTTTGGGCAATTTTTTCAATCTAACTTCATATTGACAATTTTTAACAACAGAGGGTGCTACATAACACACTTTCAGGAAAAGTCACAGACTGGGAGACTTGAATATTGTATTGAAAAAAAGTTACATACAATCAACAAATAGCTGCGGGTAAAATTGACCCGTTGGCGGTTCTAGTGTTAAAATGCATTAAATACTTAAATACATTTTAATTGCAGAGGGTACCAGGCTTTTATTTGAAGCAGGCTGGTATTTGAGACCAGCATTTATTCCTAATTCCCTCTGGTTGAGAGTACGTTGGTCACATTTAAGTATTAGTTTTGTTTTCTGCTCCTGTTCGCCGGTTTGTGAAAGCTCTTTAGTTTTTTCAGTGTACAGCATACCTTCATTTGCTACCAAAGCAGTGTTTTGGTAGCTTAATAATACAATCTTCTCACATGTTTATTCAACACGGAAACAGGTAAATATAGCAATGTAGTCAAATCTATGAATCTTCTTCAACAAAACAGTTTATCATTTACCAAACATTTGAGCAGGCAAACTGCAGGCAGATCCACTGAGGAGCAGCTGCATCCTTACAAATAGAGCAACAGTGATTTCAGTGTCGGCTTGCTTTCCTACTGTCTTTCCCTGCAGGGACGTCCGTTTGAGGATCCTGGAGCACTGTCGCTGGTCTGTCATTCAGAAGTATCAGGCAGTCACTAAGGGTCTGACAGTGGATGACCTCATGACCTTTGTCACTGGGCTAAAGTCGGAGCTGTACACCGAAGGGCTGGTGCAGGGGAATTTCACCAGCACGGTGAGAAAGAGAGATCTGTGATGTGAAAAGCAGTGCAAAACTAAACACTTCAGAATCCAAATTGTTAAAGAAGTTAGTTCAAGTTACAACAACTATTTCCCTTTTTAGTTTTGGCTTTATGTGTCCAGTATTTCTCACATCTGTCTCTGAAAGTACTATTAGATATCAACAATGAAGAGCTAAGAAAGATATATGGTAAGGATGATAAGTTGTTCATGTTTTAAAAGTTACTTTTTTGTGAGTTCTAATGTATAATCTGAATTACATGAAGATGTATGTTGTTAATTAAAAGTGTAGAAAGTAGAAACTGTTCCGGTAAAACTGGGACTTGTGTATCTTAAAATGCATTTAAACTTAATGTGATAACCCACTCCCCTCTCATACAGATGCTTGTTCCACTTGATTTATAAAATGTTCTCTTTGGGTAAGTTGTTGAGGTGTAATCTCACTCATGTTGTTTCCCCCAACAGGAGTCCAAAGAGTTTCTGCAGTACTTTATTGAGTGAGTATCCTGCTTATACATATACACACATATATTGAAGTCCACAAACACGATCCTGGCGTAGGTTCCTGCTGAGTGGAGGCCATGTTGACAGCGTCGCCTACAGACCTGTTGGCTCTGTAGGCGAACTGCAGGGGGTCCAGGGGGGGGGGGTCTGTGATGTTTTTGATGTGGGACAAGGCGCTCAAAGGACTTCCTAACCACAGAGGTCAGGGCGACGGGTCTGTAGTCATTGACTCCTGTGATCCTTGTTTTTTTCGGGACCGGGATGATGGTTTAGAATTATGCTGGTACGTGGGATGACTTATTAGCAAACTTACAGTTTCTCAGTTGTTTGCAATAAACAATTTACACCAGAGCTGTTTAAGTAGATCAATGAAACTAATATTACTAGGGTATTTATCCCAATTCAACACAAAAATGCTACTTTTAATGACTACTGCAGTCTCAAAATGATTCAACCCCCTGTCTCAAGCACGCCTGGTGCAACAATCAAGGGCTCGATTAGTTCACGTGTGCTTGAGATAGAACACAATACTTGGTGTCAGCAGGCACTGAGGTTTCAGTTTGCACAGTAAGGCGCATACTAAACACTGAAGGGCTCCATGCCCGGACTCCCAAGATGTACAACACTACTGACCCAAAAGCATATCATAACCATATGCCGCAGAAGTTTTGGAATAATGTTCTGCGGAGCGATGAAACAAAACTGGAACTTTTCAGCCTTTTGATCAGCGGTTATGTGTGGAGGAAGAAGAATGAAGCACATGCTGAAAAGAACACCCTGCCTACAGTGAAGCATGGCGGTGGCTCAGTGATGCTCTGGGACTGCTTTGCTGCCTCTGGCACTTGCGTCTGGAGGGCTCGTGGATTCAGTCAAGTATCAGGACATTTTTTGGAAATAACCTCATGCCGTCTGTGAGGAAGCTTGGGAGTAATTTGACCTTCCAATGATCCCAAACATACCTCAAAGTCCACGAAGGCTTGGTTTCAGAAGAAGAAATGGAAGATTCTAGAGTTGCCGACACAGTCGCCTGACTTGAACCCCATAGAACATCTCTGGTGGGATTTGAAGAAGGCAGCTTCAAAACGCACACCCAAGAATATAACTGAACTGGAGGCCATTTGAGGAATGTGCTAAGATTCCTCAGGAGCGCTGTCAGAAGCTGGGGGCTGGCATCACATTTGCAGCAGGTCAGAACAGCAAAAGGGTGCTCTACTAAGTACTGAAGATGCTTGTCATAATGGGGTTGAATCATTTTGAGACTGCAGTAATCATTAAACATTGCATTTTGTGTTTAATTTGGATAAAACACTTGTATTATTAGTTTCATTTAACTACTCAAACAGTTCTTGTGTAATTTGTTTATTGCAAACAGCTGAGAAATGGTATATTCCAGCAATAAACCTAATGTGCAATGGGGGTTGAATAATTTCGATTGCAACTGTACTTAAATGTTGACTATCAGAGTTAACAAGTGTAATTGTTCTTAATTAACAAAAAATGCCAACAAATATTATCTAAGTGAGGGGGTGAAGGATCGTAGGAGATTGTACAAAATAAAATAAATAAATAGGGCCTATATCTAAATCTATCCTTTGAAAGAAAACGCAAACAAAAAGCCCTCACTATCTAATCTACTACCAATGGGAACACAACCAATACAGGGGTGGCAACAATCAAATAACCTAGTGTGTCTAACAAAGATTTACCTACATGGTAAAATGTGGAGGGTACCCCAGACTTAGCTAAATACTCATCCTCCCAGCACATACACATTTAACAAGATTCACTAAGGAATCACCAAATCTACCCAGTTTCACAAGAATCAACTTCTTTAGAAAGTTCACAGAGGCTCTCGAGTCAGCATCAGGCACAGGTCTGAGAGAGAAGGCTTCCTGGATTGCCTCCTTTATGACAGGCTCTGGCTGCTGATAGGCCAGCTGAGGGTGAGTGGATCTAACCAGGCAGGCAGATACTGATCAGCTGTTGATTACCTTGAGTGAAGAAAGGGGGAAAAGAGCAGGAGAAAAAACAACCACAACAAGCACAGCCCGCATGGCACGGGACTCCTAAGGCCTGTACTACGAAGCTGGATTTTTGCTTAGCCGGCTAACTTCAGGGAAATCTCGGGCTTTCCGGTCCTACGACGCTGGTTCTCTTTTTAGCAGGCTAGATTTCCATGGTAACTTATGCTGAGCGGCAAACCTGCTCCGGAGCAGGGGGGTATACTACGAATCAAGATTTTCGTTTAGCAAGCTAACTTCAGGGGTTTCCGGTCCTACGAAGCTGGTTCACTTTTTAGCGGGCTAGATAACTTATTCTGAACGGCTATCCTCCGGAGCAGGATGGGTTCCAGGATAAAAGCACTGCCTGCTGACCAATCAGAGCTCAGTGTGCGGAGTTTAAAGCGATCAATTCATATGACAGGAGGAGAAAGGAAATACAGTTTAAACTGCCGTTGCAGGAAAGACGGCCGGCCAAAATCACCGACTGTGTGAGCGTGAAAATTAATAGAATATCCCCTCCCATCTTCAGAGCAATCTGACTATTATAATATTAGCGTTAAGAAAGCTTACTTAAATATCTGCCACAACATAAGTAACCGGATCAAAGTAACATTACGTACAGTCTGCGGCACTGTGAGTGCAGACGGCGATGTGTCCCATTATCATTCATATCATATCACATCATAATGTATCATATATTTCCTTATTTGAGTCAGCTTCTTGAGCCGTATCTGGCCGTGCAACACTCAGTGTCACATACTGTATGCAGAAGTATTATTTTCAGCAACACATTAAGTTGTCGAAACACTCGAGTCAAATGTAATTAAAGTCAGATCCACTCGTGTCTTGGACGGGGCAGTGATATCATAAAGCTGTTAATGTACGCATTCAAACACTTTTTCTTTTACCAGCTGTATTCACCTTGCAGGTGCAGCTATGTGGCTTTGATCCTGGATAAAGTGTTTAAGTCATGGATGTTTAAAGTTTAACTTCTTCATATTTGTCTAATATTAGTTGACTTTTCATTCAGGAAGTATGACGCTGCGCTGTCAGTACGCTTGTCCGTGTTTGAGATTGGTCGAATGCTCCAGATACCACCCCTTTCATGTGAACGCGCACCTAACTAGATAAGACACGCTGGCTTAAGCGATCCACTTGATAACCAGCGTCGTAGTACAGTTTAACCAGAGCGCGTATGTTTTGGATTGGGCCAACCGGCTAACTCAAACATATCCAGGTTAGGTTGAACCAGCTTCGTAGTACAGGCCTCTGGTGTATATATAAATCTAAATAAAACTGATCAATATAGTTTAATCAATGTTTTAAGTAGTAAAGAAGATTTTTTTTAAATGACTATTTGTATCTCATTTGTTTATTTCGTTATTCCTTAATAGTCATACTTATTGATTTAATATTGGTTTCAAAATACATTTGATATTTGGCACATTGACAAATTCTCTCTGAGCTGTGTACATTTTGCAAAGAGCCATATTTCTAAACTTTTTACACATAAATCAGTATTTTTTAAATGTGAATGGATTTAAAAAATATCCACACACACACACACACACACACACACACACACACACACACACAGCATGATATCTTTGCAGCATGATGACTGCAAACAATATCACTACCTCTTCCTTCTATATTTATTTGTTATTTAATATTTGTTTTAGATTCATTCAGCCATTTCCAGTTTAGACTGGAATGTAATTGTAATCTTGACAGTGTCTGTGCCAGTGTGATTTTTGAATGTACGTTTACGTGTGTGTGCGTGTGTGCATCTGCAGTAAGCTGCAGTTCCAGCCCCTGTCAGCAGAGGTCCCTGTGTTGTTCCGGGTGGTGGAGCTGCCTCAGAAACATCATTTCTGTAAAGTGAAGTCTCTGAACAAAGGAGACGCTAACTCTGAGGTCACTGTCTATTTTCAGGTAGGTGACCATCATGCTATTTCCCCACACAAGACAAATTACAGCTGCAGTGTGGTTAAAACAAAAGCGTTAAACATACATTTACTGTTCATTTTAACTGAGGAAATATGTCATGTTCTAAATGCTGAGTTCATCCACGACAGCAAAGTAACTGAAGTTAAGGATCTAACTACTTGTGTTAAGATGTTTACATTTCTTTTTATTCTCTTGTTGTATAAATCTTGATTCTCTTGCAGTCGGGGCTGAAGAATCTCAGAGAGCATGCTCTGATGGAGCTGCTGGTGGTGAGTGTTGACAATTTTACTACGGCTCCACAGACACTAGTGACATATTGCAAAGAATATAACATGATTCTGAGTGTTAACTAACCTCTTCGTTACCGAAACCACATTCATTCCTATGATCTAATGGGAAGGATTCCTGGCCCTCCATTAAAAGAATGTCATCTGAACCCTTCTTTATATACTAAATGCAAGTACTTTGACTTGGTTGTGCCTCCCCAGATGCACATGGAGGAGCCCTGCTTTGACTTCCTCAGGACAAAGGAGACACTAGGGTTAGTTTGAGTCATATTAACTGAGCATAAAGATCACTAATGTGCACTTTAAAAACCCTTTCTTATCTCATTCCCCTCCAGGTACCAGGTGTACCCGACCTGCAGGAACACCTCTGGGATGCTTGGGTTCTCCGTCACCGTGGAAACACAGGCCTCAAAGTTCAGGTTAGTTGACCAATCTGTGTGTTTGACTCCTGAGTTGATTTTCTTTTTCTCTTTAAAACCCTCCTTTTTCTCCCCCGCAGCACAGAGCTGGTGGAGGCCAAGATTGAGGAGTTCCTGGTCAGCTTCGGGGCGCGTCTGTCGGCGCTGAGCGAGGACGCCTTCAGGACGCAGGTGACAGCTCTTATCAAGCTGAAGGAATGCGAGGACGCTCACCTGGGAGAGGAGGTGGACCGCAACTGGTTTGAGGTTGTCACACAGCAATACGTCTTCAAAAGGCTCGACAAGGAGGTGAGACGCATTTGCTCTCTTCCATGTTCTGTCACAATACACACTGCCTTAATATCTTAAATGGTAAGCAAACGTCTCCAAAGCATAGAAATCAACAATAATGTATTCAATATAATAGAGTTAAGAGTAGGAATAGGATAGGACTTTGATACAAATAAAAAAACAATAAAGTGAAATGATTGTTAGTCAAAGCTCTAATCTGGTTGAGTTTCATTTCTATTTGTTCAAACAGTTACCATATCATTTTATTTTATTATTTTGTTTGCCTTGTATGAATCTGTACCGTCCTGTTTTTCATTCTCAATCTGTTGCTGCTTTAATTCCTGAATTTCCCCACTAGAGATAAATAAAGGTCCATCTTATCTTATTGATAGTTTCTGATTAACATTTTTATTTTTTCGTCCACACTAACTGTAAATTACAAATCTGCATTAGTTTGATCTAATCTAGTGTACCTAATAATAAACTTGACACTGAGTGAATATAAAGGGTCAAATATTCACTAAACTTTTCTCTGAATACAAAGATACAGTAAAAATAAGGATGTATTTGTGTATTTATTGCTAATGAAAGTGAGCAGGTCCTGATCTGTGGTTCTGACATGCTGTGCTCGCTCCTGCAGATCGAGACGCTGAAGCAGTTCTCTCGGTTGGAGCTGGTCTCCTGGTTCCTGGAACACAGAAACAGCAGCAGCAGGAAGCTCAGTGTCCATGTAAGTGCATCGTAAACTTAGTTACAACTTTTGTTTAGAAGTCGGAAGTTCCTTTGTAAGACTTTCTTTGTTGAATCATTACAGAAAAAAGCTCTGACAGAAATGATAGAAAGCTATATTTTGGGTCAACACCAAACATTAACAGCTAACAGAGATATTTCTTGAGAATGGAAGAAATGGAAGAAATTCCCTCAATGCAGGATAAAGAATGATATAACATGGATAATGCTCAGAAGAAATTGGTTGTACACACAGTTTTTTGTAAGTAACGCAAAACTAACCGGTACGATTCTTGTTTAGACATATCATAAATATTTAGACAGCAACTGTTTCAAATCTGAAAAGGAGCAAATATGAACTAACAAAAGCTACTTGTTTGTTTTCTCCATCTCCATCAGGTGGTTGGTTTTGGGGTGGAGGAGAATGACCCCCCAGAACCGAGTGCCACCTGCAGCCCAGAAAGCATTGTCAACCCCCCCTCCTCGGCCTACGGTGAAGTGAGCGAGCTCACCTTCCTGATGGCCTCCTCGCCTTTGCTCCAGGACGCCACGCTCATCTCCGACATCCGAGCGTTCACCTCCTCCATCCCGCTCCACCCTTACCACAAAATCCTCAGCTAAACCACTCACTGCAGACTGACATGAGAGAGCTAAAGACCTCTTCGCTGTCATATTAATAATAAAGTTACCATGGAAACAGCTAGCATTCTTATTTGATAAAAGAGGATACTGTTAGAATGCACATAATTTACATTTACACGTGCTTAGATCTTGAGTTTAATGTACTCGCATAGAGCTAAAGAAATAAAACATTGTAAAATGCTGCTTTCATATACTGTGGGGAGAAAAGCTGAACTCTAGGCCCATATTGATATAGCATCTCATGCTTATAAAGCATCTAGTGGTTTATGATATCTGGAAAATAATAATGGAAAAATGTAAATGCAGAAAATAATCACTTTTTAAAATGTAGCATAAAGGCTTGACTGGCAAAAAATAACTAGTCATCATAGATCGTCATCTACGGTACTTTAGGCTACAGAATGTTTATAATTGAAAACATACGATGCCTAAGTATTTAACCTAGCTCAAACATAAGGATTGTTACCAATAAACCATTTGCATCAGCTGTAAGTAAACACCTATTAAAAGTACAAACTGTTTAAACTTCAAGGCTAAATAGTTGTATTCAGCCCTGCCCAATCACATGTTTTACACTGCCCAGATTACCGATGCTCTCACTGCAACGACACTCCCTTTAACCCTCCTGTTATCCTCAGATGTACTATACACCCTTTATCCTCTAGTAGTTTAAAACTCAAGACAATGATCATATTCCAAATGTTAACCAACATGTATGTCTCTGGTGCTTTAGGTATCTTAGTTGACTACCTAAATAACCATTTAAATAAAACATTACCCCAACCTTCCCCCCTACAGACCCCTTTATACATCCAGAATTCCTATTATGTAACGATTGAAACATATATAAATCACCATAAAATCTCTCTGATTGAAATAAAATGTTAAAGTAAGATCTTTTTTATGTTGTTAAAGGACCAACAACTAAAGCAGAGGGTAGTTTTGTTTTACAATGATACATTTGCATGTAATAGTCACCTCAATATCATCCTACACAATCAACACAAATATGTGTAAAATGTTGACATTTTTATATGTTTTATACTACTAAAACAGCCTGGGGTCAAATTGACCCCAAGGAACACCGATGCGTACAAAGTGTGTACAGGACATTTAAAAAAGATCTTCATGTTCATTGTATGTTTACCCATTAGTCCTCACTAAATTAGGAAAAGTCATGAAATACTAAGCAAAACAAATAATGTGAACCATTTTTTTAGATACGTTAAACATTGAATGGGGTCAAATTGACCCCAAGGATAACAGGAGGGTTAACTGTTGCACCCTTACAGGAGGGGTGTGTTGGGAAGTATAACAATATGCACCTATAGCTATTTTACCAGTAATTAAAAAAAAAAAAATTAATTAGGCTTCTTACATTAAAGCAAGTTTTTACTTTATGTGAATCTGTGTTTTATTTGAGAAGCTGCAACGCATTCTGCAAACTAAAATGTTTATTGCAAAACGTATTGAAATGAAACCTGGAACTAACGAAGCTTAAATGATTGCCTATAAAAACAACATTAAACATTAAATAAATGAAAAATCAGTTGCATTGATTTCTTATGGCTCTATCTGCAGCTTTTCCGGAGTCATTTCTTATGATAACATTTTTCCACAGGCCAACAACAGCTTCAGAAAAATGTCCCTCAACGAAAAAACCAAACATGCCCTGTTGTCGCAAGAAACTAAGTGCAAAAAGGAAACATACATTTAAACTAAATGTGCTGCTCTGTGATGCACACTACTTTAAGCCAGATACCTGGCATCTCATCTTGGATGCAAGTTCATCAATGTTTGGGGTCAGGCTCTGAGCTGAGGAAATCCTCAGGATTGAGTGAAGGTGTTCATCAAAGAGAACAGTTGCTCACACAGGTATGTGCTGCCAAACATAGAGAGCATTTGCACAGCTTGGGTACGCAGGTGGGGCATTGTGTCGGGGATGAAACTACTGCACCGGTCCATCTCACATTAGACCATAACATTACGGTTATCTAGCTCTTAGACTCTTTATCTGAAACCGCTTACAATAATGTTGGTAAAACTACCAACATGATTTTGAATCAAAAGTAAAAAAGCATGTCGAAAATAAAGAATAACTTTTCAACTTTGCTTTTTGTGTTGCTTTGTAAGTAAGCTCAACCTATTTACAATTTGTAAATTATTATTGTACTAAATGAAACAGAAAAAACCCAGCAAATAGTTTAGCATAAACGTGTATCTCACACTCTTTGTCATAGTTGCCCAAATCAAGTAAAACAGACCAAGAACAAAGCCATGCCTGTCCACACACATTGAGCCTTTCTCTGTTATATTGAATTACTTTGAGGAACACTTAGGTCGGTTTTCAGAGTTTTCTTTAATGAGTGAATGATGAACAACTGGCCAAAGATGTCTGGATGTTGTCCATGGGGAGACCACTGGAGGTCACTATGTCTCTTTTTTGAGAAAAAACGGACTATCTCTCCTTGCATAAAAGCTGATTCCCACTGATATGTGAGCACTGGGAATCACTTTATGGAAGGTATTTCCTCCATGACACACAGCTCAGATCGACTAACAAATAGATGAGCAAATAAGTAAACAATCTGCTCCAACTCTCCAGAGTCACTTACTGATGAGCTCACCTGTGTGTGTGTGTGTGTGTGTGTGTGTGTGTGTGTGTGTGTGTGTGTGTGTGTGTGTGTGTGTGTGTGTGTGTGTGTGTGTGTGTGTGTGTGTGTGTGTGTGTGTGTGTGTGTGTGTGTGTGTGTGTTGTGTGTGTGTGTGTGTGTGTGTGTGTGTGTGTGTGTGTGTGTGTGTGTGTGTATACCAGGAACCAGGAAGACACTTTAAATGAGACACAAAATCAAAACCAATATAAATAGGGAAACTAAATACTACGATAAGGAGCTAAACTAACACTGACAAAAATATCTACAATTGTCAAAAACAACCTACAGTATGTACAAAGACACAAAATGACTAGAGCTGCAACAATTAGTCTCCTAATCGATTAGTTCATGGACAGATACAAATCACTTACTATTTTCATAATTAATTAATCCTTTATTTTTCGTGCAAGCATTTGAGATATTGAGATTTCACACTTTTAGCTTTATGTCATATTAAGTAAACTTTGTCTGTAGTATCTTTCTATATATATTCTGCAGCCTAGTGAGACTGTATATTGTAGAGTATACTAAATGTATTCAATATATTGTGTATTATTTAGATACTCTAGGGATATATGTCTTTCTATTGTTATTTGTATTTACTTGCTGCCATTTTTTCATTTTATTTGTATTCTTACTATATATTAATGTTAATTTGTATTCTTATTATATTTGTATCTTATTGTATATTTTAAAAATGTTTAACTTTTGTAATGCGTGACACTGCTACCGGAATAAAATAAACTCCCAATTGTGGGTTGAATAAAGTATCTATCTAAACACTTTTTGGATTTGGACTGACAAAACAATACATTTGAAGACAGCACATTGGACTTTGGAATCTAAACTGGGATGAACTTTTTTTTCTTTCTGACTGTTTAAACACCCAAACAATTAATTGATATCAAGAAAAATAATCAGCAGGTTCATCAAAATTAAGACCGTAAGCTTCAGCCCTACAAAAGAGACAAGAAACCGTAGAGGGGTTCATTTACGACACAAAAAGACACATAACAGCACAAAAGGGGCTAAACACACAATAACATCTGTCTCCCCCCAATGTAGGAGCGGTGCATGTCATAAGTCTTGATCAGTGTGTGTGTGTGTGTGTGTGTGTGTGTGTGTGCGTATGCGTGTGCGTGTGCTTGCTAACAGACACCATACTGTAAATGTAATGGCGTGTGTTTCCCTGATGACCCTCTGAGTGCTTCTGTGTTTACTTTCCACAGCCAATCATTTTTCATTACTGATCAATAAGCGACGAGATGTTCGCTGTGCAGCGGTGTGCCGGCAGATCATTCTGTTCATGTGTGCACGCATGTCAGCCTCTCTACACCACATCATGGATTATTCTCACAATACATGTTAGTATAATTAACTTCTCATACTGGATAATGACTGAACATCTCAGGATCACTTTCATGTTGGTAATACAGGTCTGGTCTACATATATTTACCAGGATTTACCCACAAATCAGATGAGCCTGGTATGAGAAAAATGTCTTTATTTAAGTTGTCAGATGCGGAGGACTTCAACTTTTTATTTTAAAACTGCATTAAAAAAAAGGAGAATCCACACATGTATATCAATAAATAATAGTTGCAATACAATAATGTCCTTATTTTGTGTCATTTGTTCTACAGACTGTCCTGTGCTGTGACTGTAAACACACTCCTGACCGACTTATTTCTTCTTCTCTCTGTTTCTGTTCTTTCTTCCTCTCCTCTCACTGACCTGCTGCCCTCCTCCTCTTCCTCCTCCTCCTCCTCCTCTCTGTATTCTCTCGCTCTCTTTGTTATGGGGGTCCTGCATGGAGGATGTATATTTTATGCGCGGCTCTGGAGGCTTTTACCATTAATTATAGAGAAACACTAAGCTCTCCATTTGCCGGACAGATGTTATTTTTTACTTAAGGAGAGAAAGGGGACTGTTCCATAATTCAGAGGTAATCCCGCTCACCAGAGAACAAATAAATAAATGAATAAATAAATAAAGCAAAAGCAAAAACCACAAACATTTGGTACACTGCTCTGCGTGCTCAGACATGTAACGCAGCGGCCGACACACACGCACAGATTTCAGCCTTTAAGTGCCTTCTATGTAATAAATATGGAACAGCTGCTTTATCATTTCATTTCTTATTTAATCGGCTTCTCCCAAAGTATTTCACAGATTTACAGACACACACACACACAGGGTGATCTCTGCACCTTGAGAACAATAGGAGTTGTTCAAAGCTGACATATTGGGTACAAATCTGGACAATAATAAAACAGATACAAAGCAGAGATTAACATTTTCAACCTTTTCTTTTTATTCTGGTACGTTACGGCAGATTCCTGTGCTGCCAGGTGTAGCTGAAATAGGAGTTCAATGATGAAAAACAATATTAGCAACATTTGTAATGAGTGATTTACACTCCATTGTACATGGGAAAAACACTGAAATGATCTCATCCTGTCTCTCAAATGCTTTGGACAAGGTTCAACACTGGCTGAACAACATTTGCTTACAGTTAAATGCAAAAAAAACAGTATGCATGATGTTCAGTAAACGACAAGTCAAAATCGAAGGATCTAATGTGTTTTTAAACGGATCAGAAATAGAACTAGTCTCCCAGTTCAAGTATCTTGGAGTCATACTGGACTCGAACTTGACTTTTAAGAAACATATTAAGAAAGTATCCAATACTATTAAATTCAACTTGCAACATTTTAAACAAATTAGACCTTTCTTAACTGTCAATGCTGCAAAGTCATACCTCCACTGTATGATTCTATCCCACATTGAATACTGTTTTACAAACTGGTCGTTTGCTTGTGCCACAAACCTGAAACCCATAGAACAGCTGTACAAGAGGGCTATCAAGGTGTTTG